TTATCATAGGCAGCACCTTCACCCAGAATATTTTTAGAGTACTTTAGATGGAATGAAAGCTTGAAAATGACTTGATTTTCTCCACCCATGAGAGTAGAAGCACAGCATCTTTGTGCTGCTCTTAAAGCCAGTCTGGGAGCTTCCCGCCCACTTTCCTTGACCGTTTATAATGTATGGGCACCCAGATTTTTGGTCCCGTTGCTAGCTCCAAAACGCTTCTTATCAATCATAATATGAAGTTGATGTATGGGTCTCTAGATAGTATAAGAAATATTTGCTAAAGCTCACTAAAAGTATAAAGATTATGATCCTCACTAAAAAAAATTATTGGTATTTTTAGCAAGAAGCTCCTATTTTACTTTTGAATTAGCAAATTACCCAGCAACATTAACTCACCCCTCCCATCCACATTCAACTTCAAGCAGGAGCATGTTTTGCATTCTAACTTTTCTAGAATATATGATGACAGGCGGTGCAAAGAGTTGCAAACCTCTTTCCCAGCAGAGTTCTCAACAACACCTGGCACACAGCTGGGTCTTAGAAGCAGACTGAGATGGCTCTGGGTTTGCCTGCCTACACATTCCTTATCTTCTGACTTTTCATTGAGACATCTTCCTTCACCCTGTGGTCTGGCAAGGTTGTTATCATGAGGACCCTTACCCTATCCCACAGACAGGGCTGGGCCTGTGGTCCTGAATGGTTTATTCAATTAGACCAGTGGCTGGCAAACTCCAGCTCTCGAGCCACATGCGGCTCTTTGGCCCCTTGAGTGTGGCTCTTCTACCAAATACCATGGCCTGGGCGAGTGTATTTTGAAGAAGTGGCGTTAGAAGAAGTTTAAGTTGAAAAAATTGGGCTCTCCAAAGAAATTTCAATCGCTGTACTGTTGCTATTTGGCTCTGTTGACTAATGAGTTTGCCGACCACCAAATTAGACCATACCCCAACACAGTGCTTAGTGTAGAGGCAGATGTATGACAACATCTGTGGTCTTTGAGAAAGAAGCCCAGCAGGACAGGCTGATGGCATCTTTGGAACCACTGTATCCAGCTGGTCTTGTGGTTCACAATCACACTCCCCAGTCAAGTCAAACAACATAGTTTCCTTTTGGGTAAGCACGTTTGTGTTGGATTTCTGTTACTTGCAACCAAGGGAGTCCTAATTCATATGGTATTTCGTTTAAAGTAATCATATTAACCCCTTCCTTTCCTTAACATCTGGGGTTGTAGCATATTCACATTTACATACTTCCAATGTAAATGACGTATATGGGTTTAAGACACAGTTAGCCCAGAAGCTCATGTCAAACAATTCTTTATTTTTTTATGGTACAAATTAAAAGTGACAGATCTGAAGCTGTTAAGAAATACACAAAGTGCAGCTTTACTGACCATACAGATATTGCTCTAGATTAAGTACAGTTTTGTCAGTTTTTTTTTTTTTTAAACGTTAAGCAACCTGTGCAGATAAATCAGCTTTGGTTTCAATGTTAGAGCAAATAAGGAGCTTTTAAATATCCAGTTTGGCTTCTTGGTCACAAGTCCATCATGTCAACTTCTCATCATGATCATTTTTCAAAACAACCCAGTCTGTTTTCCTGTCCTCCAGCCTCTGCCTGCGCCAGGCAGGGAGGCGGCTGCTTCGTGGTGCCTCGTCAGGGACCCTGGTGACCAGTCTAGATCATAGCACACAGGACAAAAAAAAAATTAAATAAATAAAAAATCACTCTCTTAGCAACAATTAAACAAATGTGCCTCACGTACTTTCAGGTTGAAGACAAACAAATCACATGACAAAAAAGCTCATTACAAAATACTATCCAAACAGATTTTACAGTCAAACATTTAAAAGAAAATCAATTTCCTTTTCTCCATTTGTTTAAGCTTGGTCATTAACTGGTATAAGTAGAGTGCTGAGGTAAAACATTGATGAACAGTTTGTACTTTTTTTTATTTTCTTAAAATAGGAACAGTGTAGTATTGCGAGATTGTCAGCAACATTTAGCCATATCTATACAATGTGCATATACCTACAAATATTGAGCTTTGGTCCAGCATAGAGAAGATGAGCAAAGGCATTTCGCAATTTCTTTTTGGTTATAGCTTGAGTTCTTTGATACGCCTCTACTTGTTTGTTTGTTTGTTTTTCCTAGCTCCTTTTGCCTTTTTTGTTTTCTCTTTTGGTGTGTGTGTGTGTGTGTGTGTGTGTGTGTGTGTTTGTATGTGTGCACGCACACACTCGAATGTGATTTATGTGATTACACTAGTGAATCCAAAACCTTGCAATGCAGTTAAAACTCTCAACTGTTCAAAATGTTTTCTTGTTGAAAAAACAAAACAAAAAAACTCCCACAAAAACAGTGTAAAATATAACACCAGTTGTTTCTCTTTTTCATCGAACAATAGAGAAAATGAAGATGACAGTAATTTAAAAATATGCAAGAAAAATATTGAAGTTTGAAATACAATCACATATGCCCAAAGTGGCTTTTATTTTTTTGTTAGTGGCAACCTTTACCTTCAGTTCATGAAAACATATAAAACACTTAAATGCTATTGGCCTATGAAGTTATTTACTAGTGAAAATAAGAAATGTCATAATAAAATTAAGCAATAGATGTGGTTCCGAAGACTTATATACACAATATAATTGATATTCTTAAGAATCTGTTCAGGCACCTTTTTATGCCTTGTAGCAAAAAATTTATCTGTAAAAAAAATCAATATAAGAAGCATTACAACACCTTATAAATAATTTATAAAACAATACAAAATTATAAAAACTATAAAAAAATGAATGGGTTTACGACTGTGGGATAAATATATTTCTTTTATATTCCATTTTGGAAGACTACTTTTATTTTGTATCTTCACTGTCCTAGTTGTATCCTCCCAGGTATAGATCTTGAAACGGAGCAGGCCTTATGTCACTGCTGCTAGCGCGTGTTTGAACACTGAGCATTCTGTTATCTTGTTGACTTTTCCTTGGGAGCTTTTCCTGGTGAAATTTGGAGCAGGTCTTGGGAGAACACATTATCTGTTTAATCCATATACGTTTGGATTTCTGGGTTATTGGTGTCTGCACAGTTTTGGAGGTGGCGAAACGGGTGCCATGATGTGATTGCCATCGAAGATCAAGTCAGCTGTGGTCCAATTAGTATCAGAGTGGCAAAATGGAAACACCTTTGCAAGTGACCACTTCCTCTTCCAGGCTTTTTCCTTTTAGAGTTTCCATGCTGGTGAAGTCCTGATTGCTGCATGAATCATCCGGGGGAAGGGGGCCAATTATACCATTGCATTTACACAACCAGCAAAGGGGCTACCAGAAGAGACTCAAACCCTCATCAGGGAGGGAACATGGCATTTCTCATCAGTTGGGCAACTTGAGGTGGGCTTTCTTTTTTCTTTTTTTTTTCTTTTACAATTGACTTGTAAAGAGTACATGAGCATGCGTATTCATTAGTTATTCAGGAATATTTACATTTTAACAGCAGGCATATGGATGGTTTTTCCTTTTTCCTGCTTCTTTAGTGGGACACCTTTTGCCTATACCTGTAGAAACTACCAACCACAAGGTTCGAGTGCTCGCCTGCCCAGCCATCCTCCCATCTTGCCTTTCCTTCTGGCTTATTAGGCTATTTTGGCCCACAGATCTTTTGAGGAACTTATTTTGAAAAAAAATAATAATCCCTAAGTTTTAATAGTGAAGGCTATTCTGACGTGGTAGATAAGCCACTCTGTATTTTTCCTTTGAGAGGAGGCACTTCATTATTAAAATGTCTTTTCGCCTCAAGAACCCAGAGCCCAATTCCAGTGGTTTAAATTTGTCTGCCAACTTTCTGCTCCATTTATATATTCCAAGAATAATTGACCACTCCCCCCACCCCGCTGTAAAAAGTCTGCCATTGTTATTGGAACGAAAGAACTAGCAGAGAAGATGGGATTTACAGGATACGTGAAGGCCTTTTAAGATCCAGTCACTCTATCTTCCTTTTGGCCTGTTTTCTTTGTGTGTGTTTATGTGGGTCTGTGCATGCTATGTGTGTGTGTAGGTGTGTGTGTGTGTTATGACTGAAATCTCGAGACATTTCTTTGGCTATCAGACTTCTGAGAGAAATTGCTTTGCACAGAAGCATAACATAGACGTAAGTATTGAACCAAATGTGCAGCTTATGTTTGTTTATATTACAAAATTAGTTTTGATCAGCTCTCCACGTACGTGGCCAGCAGACTGAGAAAAATCCCAAGCTCGGGTGTGGACCGTGAGCACAGTGACAGCTTATGCCATTGCTGACAGTTCGTCGAGCAAAACTCTAGTTATTCTGGAGTCTCTCCTGCATGCCACTGGGATCTGAGTGGAAGGGACACTGTTCACACTCTGTGGCCTTCCAGCAGACTGGAGGCCACGTCTGAGGGAGATGGGAGATGGAGGGGAAAAGAGAAGTGCAAGCTCCATTTTTCTTTTCTCAAACCCACAAGTCATGGTGAGAAGAAAGCAACCAATGCTTTGGCACACAATCCAGGATGGCCCCTTTCCCGAAAACAACAACAACAAAGAGGAAAGAAAAGAAAAAAGAACCCTGTCCAGACAAAGTAAAAGCAAATAGCCTCACAGAATGGAGTTCACCAATGGCACCCACTCCATAAGTGACAGTAGGTGGGAAAGATGGGAGAAACTAGCTTCCCAGTTTCCCCGGAAGCACAAATGTAAAAATTTGTAACACAACTTGACACGCAGAGAAGAGCAGACTGGTGATCGCATTGGCAATGACTTTGGTTAATAGGTTTCAGAGTGAATCAGCACTTAGAACCCGAAAGAAGGCAATCCTTCCTCCAGGTGGCAGGCTTGTCTTCGCTTTGAACAGATCAGTTTCTGTTGGTATTTCTTGTGTGTGTGTGTGTGTGTGTGTGTGTGTGTGTGTATGTGTTTGTTTGTTTTTTGGTTTAGTTTTGCTTTTTTTTTTTTTCCTTAAAACGTGTTCACATTTTCATACTATACAGAAAAAAGTATGTGGTTATTTGGTTCGCTTTTAGTCCATTACAAAACTGGTTGTGGGGAGGCAGATGGGGGAGGGAACTAGCCTACCACACACATCTGCAGTGTGGTGCATTCCTTGTTTAAAAATTCTCAAAATCAAATTCTTCTTTTTTTTTTTTTTGAAAACCAATGGACACCTATAAACCACTCTGTCCACTTGGTAGGTTTCTTAGTCTTTGACTCATAAGGAGGATGACGAGGGCTATTTTAAAATGTTACATTTCGTTCGTTATGTGTTCGTTTGTTTCTTTGTCTGTTGGTGGGGTCCCAGGGATGGAGCTTCGTTTCTGTGGAGTTAGCTTCTGATTCCGGGCGGGCGTCCCTTTAGGTGGTTTCTTCCAGGGAGTCTGTTAAGGGCTCCAGGGGGACAGCCGTGGCAGGCTCGTGCTGTTTTAAGCGTTTAATCGTGTTCTTCAGGGCTTGCCTCTTATTGCAGAACCAAACTCTAACTACCTCCCGGTCATAGTTCAGCTTTTCGGCAATCTCGGTCATTTCCTGCCCGGAAGGGTGTGTGTTCTTCTCAAAGTGGGCATTGAGGATCTCAAGGGCCTGGGGTGTGAAGGAGGTGCGCCGCTTGCGCTTTTTGGACGGTTCACTCCCAATAAACTCGGTCAGGTTCTGCATGCCCGCTCGATGGCGGGCCTCAGCCTCAGCCATCCACCGCTCAAGCACCGGCTTGATCTTCTGGGCACTTTTAGGGGTGATGTCCAGCTTTTCAAACCTGGCAGGATACAAAAGGCCAGGGTTCAGTTTGGCTGTCAGACTGCTAGCTATAGTGTTCTCTTGGGCTTCCTGTGGTAGGAAAAAGTGGCTTCTCAGGATGGTGTGTCTGGGGGGAGAATTGAGAAAGAACAGTCTTAAACTGAGTCCTCTGCCAGGGTGGGCCTCCTGCCTGCCTGCCTGGTTGACTGGCAGAGCGAATCCACTCCAGATTATCAGCCAGCTGCAAGGTAGCTGTGCCCGCTCAAGCCAGCACCCGCCCGCCCGCATGCCTCATGCCAGTCCATGCAGCCCACATGCGCGCGCGGACACAGAACAGGACGGGGAAGGTGGGGACAGCGCGACGACGCAGGAGCCTTCACAATAGAAACAAAACCACTCCTAGATCTTTCCCCGGCAAGCTTTTGGAGATAAAAGCTTTTCTTTTCATCACACCTCACCATTTCCCCAATCTTCAGAATTCTAAGGTAGAAACCAACACCAGAAAGAGACATCAAAGACAACAGCTCTCCCATTCTTCCATTTAAACCGATTCATTTTAATGTTTTCCTTAATTCCCCCATTCATCGGACTATAGAAATATCTCTTATAACAGTTAGTGATGGCAACGAGAGCCAGTTTCTTCCACAGCTCTCTTTTCATCTCTGTGTCTCAGTGTAAGCTCTCTCTCCCCTTTCTCTCACTCTATCTATGTCTTCCACCCCAACCCTCTGGTAACAAACAGTTTTCACCATATGTATGTCAACAACATGTTCCTTTTTCAGGTCAAACATGTCCTGTTGCTACTTTACTGCTGGACTCAAACAGCTGGACACACGGTAATTACCATGAACACCCCTCCCCAGATGTGTTCCGGCCACCTGTGCCTTCCAAACCCTGCCCAGCACCCGTGAACTTTTGCTCCAGGGCACCAAGCTGCGTTTAGTGTGTGATATCTGTGCTTGAATGATATCATTTTCTGTAAATGAGGCCTTCTGTACATCAATTGCTATCAGCAACCCTTTGCCACACTGACTAAAAAATAGGAAGCATCTTGGACAAAATTATGCAGAGCGCTTCAACATCTTGGTATAAAAGTCATGCTCATTTTCAATGAGATGCAAAAACATGCAGTTCCTCTTGTTTGTTGTTTGTTTATCCTAAATCCAAATTCACGGCCCCCTCATCTGACAACTTTGGGCACACAGAATTCTCCTCTCTCTTTTAATGACCATCATTCACTATAAACTCTCTACGCCATGGCACAGGGAGAAGGCCTGTGATCGGGGCGTCCAGTCCTACGGGTGGTGTGTTTTCCTCTGTGTCTCTCATTAGGAGGAACTTATCAAAACAGCACCTGGGAGTCCCTGCAGCAGAGAAGGGAGAAGTGAACCTGAGTGTGCAGGCTCAAATGCAGATTTCTCTTCACCTTCGAATGAACTTGAACTCTTTCTATGTCAGATTTTGGTTTCTTTCAAGACTTTGTTTTTTTCCTCCCCATGGTAGTGAGCTCATAAAATTACCTCACTGAAATACCAGGAGCTACAGAAAGGCCAAAAAGTCAAGGCATTGACATATTCTTTTATACAACGAATCCCCAAGTCTCTTTTCATTTCAGCCATAGCTTTTTGGCCTCCCCTGGGGGGAAGACTTTAAGTATCAACATATTTGACTGGGAATGCCCAGCAACACTCCCCATGTCAGTGAAAACATTAAATAGCACTGAAACCTATAAAAGGAAATCAGATTTTAGGACTGAAAATAAGCCAAAGAGGACTTTAATAACAATAGCAAATGGGCAACAACTTAAAAAAAAAAAGCACCTTTACGGCTGCCTTTATCACCAGGCTGTCAAGATGAACCAAAATTAATGTTTCCCGACAGGGAGCAACCGCGTTCGTATCATTGATGCTGCTTGTTAGTGTTGATGCTTCTGTACATATTGTTTGGAATAACATATACAAGCCTCAGAAACAAATTTCCCAGCAGCAGCCTCCTTGTGCGGACTGAATAAAGGTTATTTTCTACAGGGAGGTATCTTATAAGAAAAAACAGTAGGGGAGGCCATAGAAGTGAGAGGATCCTATGGAGCTTTTTGTATTTAACAACAATCAATGGGTTTTATGGAAAATCATTGAGCAAAATGTAAGCTGCAAGCGACTACCCCATACTGATGTTATTTATAACCTTAGTCTCAAACTGCAGGAAAAGTACACTTCCGTCCTTCGGGGAATACATTAAAAGTATAAAGAGCAGATAAAAAGACAGCATTTCATGGATCACCAAGAACAAAATCCACTTAAATGAGTGTAGAGTTGGTTTCTTGGCTTTTCCTGACGGAGGGAGGACTCGGAAGGCATTGCCCAGGAGGAAAAAGCTCTTACCGAAGTGCCTTTGTTGCCTCATACATAAACAGCGGATTAGTGCAACACACGCATGCACGCGCGGGGCTGCTTCTGGCGGCTTGACCCAGATCAACGTGAACACAACCAAGGCTGGATTCTGTCCTTTATTTATTAAAAAAAATTTTTTTTTTTTTTTTGCGGGGGGAGGGCCAGACGAGGCCAGATTCTCAGTATCCCTTTTTGGAGCCATGGAAAGCAGGTGCTTCTTTTTTTAAAAATGTGCTTTTAAACGTACAGCTGAGAAGGAGAGTTCAAAACTCCTTCGAGGTCCCAAGGTGGTTCATTTGTTTGAAGGTGAGTTTTCTTGGGAAATCCTGAATAGAAATGGTGGGAGCACTAGCACCCACGGGGACCGGCAGCTTTCCATTTGCACACGACACCCACCTGCAGACAGGAGGCGGCTCTCAGCTGCGGAGGAGGAGGCGGGACAGGGGATTTGCTGGAGGCCGCCTTGGAGGTTTTTTGTGAGTTGATGGGGGTCATCGAGCCAGGGCCCGCAAGTCTGGGTCAGCACCCTCGTTTCCAGCGACACCACCGATTTGCACGTAGAGCCACCCTGAACTTGGTTCCCACCCTTGACCCCTCCAGCGTTGCCCACCCGGAGAAGAAAAGCCGAGCTGCGAGGGCAAAGGAGGCCCAGGCCGGCCGGGGGAGGCGAGGCATGCGGGCGCGGGTTACCTGCAGATGGCTGACTGGCTGTAGGCGGGGCCCTCTGTGGCACTGAGGGCCTGTCCCACCTGAGTCTGGGTCAGGCCCAGGGACAGGCGCCGGATTTTAAAAGCTTTGGCAAATTCTCGGATCTCCTCCAGATTAACCCCATCCACCTCACCCGCTGCCGTTTGGGGATCTGTGGAGATGTTTTTAAAAATAGGATCAATAGGTCAGCATACATCGGAGGAATTTCTGTTTATTATGGCTTATGGGAAAAGGGTCCTCTTTCAACCGGAGCATTGCATGATGCTCCCTCTGTCTCCCAGGTGAGGAACCCAAGCCCCCAGCCTCAGCACCTCCATAGGTCATCCTTCAAGATGTTCCTACCCCAGATAAAACCAACCATAGGCTGCTCACGCTGCCACGTCCACAACATAAGAGCGTCTTCCTTAGGGCTTAACTAATAGCCAGGGCGGGAAGGCACCTGCTATGGGAGAGGAGACCTAAATATGTCCAAATATTGTGCAAAAAATATACGATGGGCAAGTTTCCAATTTGAAATGTTTTCATTGGGATCTTGAATGCTAAACATCGCCCTCGAAGGAAATAGCATTTTGTATTTTTCCTTCACTCGGTCACCCATGCAGCCAGGCTAACAGATGGCAAAATTGCCTAATTTCTTCTGTTCACATGAACCCTTCCAAAGAGCGTGAGGATAATATACCCCCACCCCCACGAAGCAGCGTCGGGGCCCAGCCGCCTTTGTCCCCGGAAAGGGCATGTCTTAAAAAATGCCTACCGCAGGAAGGCTCCTTTGGTGCCAGATAACTCGGTCAATTAAGGACTTAGCGAGGGAAATGACACAACAGCTGGAGAGTGAAACTCCCCTTCCCTGGCTACTGATCCCTGGATGAATGAAAGCATACCCCAAGCTGGAGACAGCATGGACTGGGGATGGTGCGAGATTTCAAAGTGCTGCCGGACCCTGCCTGGAGAGAAGCCATTCTCCCTGCCTGCCGATGCCATTGTTCTCCAGCTCATCCCTAGGATGCACGGGGAAAGTTTTCCTCTTCCTTTGTCTGCACAAGAACCCATCCATTTCAATAATGTGGAGTACTTGTCCAAGGATTGCGGTGGACTACAGTACCCTTCTGGGCTCAGGGCTCTAGTCTGGACACTCTTGTTATTATGAAAAGAAAGAAATATTTGCATCCCAAGAGCCAATGTTTCTAGGTCTGGATTAGAGCCCACCAGCATAGCAGCCTGGCGCAGCTTGAAGGGTTTGCTAGGGATCCTGGGAAGTCTTATCCACACACAACAGCCTTGAATCCCTCCTCCAATGCCTTCCTTTAAACAATAACTAGAGAAGCTAAAAGCGAGCAACTTTTCAGCAAATAAAACTCTGCTTTTCTGATACTTAAACATTGGTTTAATTCCTTGCAACATTTAAACAATGGGAAGTTTCTAGAGAAAAATCTAGATTTTTTTTCATGTTCTTTTGAAACGTTAGACGATTTGGCTGCAGCAGGTTAGCTGGAACTGACTCTGGCTGCTCCTTCACCTCCGCCTCCTCCTCCTCTCCAAGCCCTTTCAGACCTGCTTCCTTGCTGAGCCCATTTTGCATTGCCAAGGCGAGACTGGTGCTGGGTGGTGGTGGGGAAGGTGGAAAAGTCTTAGCACAATGGTTCTGGCCCCCAAAAGGCCATACTATATACACAGAACAGGGGTGCAGTATATCGGTGGTATTAACATTTCATGGGGAAGGTGGGCAATTAGGATAAAAAACGTGTAAACATTTCCTTATGGGGTTGGGTGTGGGGATGGACTATCCTATATAAATAAAGGGTAATATGCAATTTGACCCTAACAGCAGAACGACCAGGAACAACTGGTCACTATGACACGCACTGATCACCAGGGGGCAGACACTCAATGCAGGAGCTGCCCCCTGGTGGTCAGTGCGCTTCCACAGGAAAAGCACTGCTCCCACCTCTGCAGCAGTGCTAAGTCGTTAGTTGGACATCCCCAAGGACTCCTGAGCTGTTAGAGGGACGTCCGACTGCCAGCTTAGGCCAGCTTCCAGCAGGTGGACATCCCCTGAGGGGTCCCAGACTATGAGAGGATGCAGGCTGAGCCGAAGGATCCCCCTCACCCCTTGCCAAGTGCATGCATTTTTGTGCACCAGGCCTCTAGTAGTAAAATAATCATGGAAACACTCTGGTTAGAACAGAAAGGGACACATTGTAAGAAATGGCCCAGTGAAAGCGGGGCCTGGCCTCTCTCCACAAGAGCAGAGGGGCTTGGCAGACCTGCAAGCGTGGGCAGTGTAGTTTCACAACTGAGGGTGAGAGAATGGAAGCCAGAGACGTCCCTTGTGACAGTGTGGTGTGTAGGAAGGTGGTGGACTTAATTTGGCTGGTGTGAGAGTTACCTGGGATTCTGTGGCTCTGTCATGACCAAGTCTGGGCATGCCATCTTCCACAGGTCACTGTCTGTTTTGAATCCTTTTGCCATTTTTATTCACCAATTTCCACTCCACAGAGAACTTGCTCTATCACTTGTGTAAGACTGGTGGGCCAGAAGGGAGGGGTTCCTAGTCAGGCACCCAGTCCTTGTTCTTTCCCAGCCCAATCTACACTGTATACAGCAAGTGGCAAACTTCTGGGCGCCAGTGGGCTAGGGTGAGCAGAGTGTAGTCTGGAGTTGGGGAGAGAGTTTGTTTCTGAGCAAAGCTAAGTAGCCTGTGTGGGAAGCAAAGCTGTTCTTTCATTAGGCCCATCTCTAGATCAATGGGAATCCATTGAGTCCACCAGCAGGTGAGGGGTGGGTCTTGAATATGGAAGGATGTCTCTCACCTACTCCAGTCCCAGGGCCTGCACTGCCACCAGAGTTAGCCATGCAGTACCAGGCCGGTTTTTGACTTAGGCTAAATTTTAAGTAAATCCATTCAACCTTACTTCTCTCTCTTTCCCTGCTGCTTGTATCATTTGTCTCCTTCCTAGTTCCTTGAAACTAGGAACTAAATCTGTGTGTGTGTGTGTGTGTGTGTGTGTGTGTGTGTGATTGTGTAGGTTGCCTTTTGCCAGGTCACTGACAATAATCAGCATTGGGAAGAAAGCTACGAACTCTCACCCCCCGCGCACTGGGCAGTGTTGCTATCGAACTTGACTAAGGCTCGCAGAGGTGGGCGCCCGTTTCACTGAGCCCAATGGCTTCCACGAGGCCCCCAAGAGGCATTTATTACACCAGAGACAGAATTTCTTCTTCCTCCTCTCACATGTTTTCCATGCTTGTCCTTTTCCTGGTTCTACTTAGGTAACTGAGAAGATAGATTTCCTTATGGAATTGAAACAGGGTGATGGTCTGTTGGACAGAGGTCCAGGGAGGAGAAATCAGTATCACATGGCATAATTCGTTGATTGCTGGAGATGAGCGGCCTGGCTTTCTTTATGTTAGTACTCTTACCCATAAAATCAGATGGCAAAATGTCTTACTATGGTTTTGGTCCATACGCCTCAAGAACACAAAAGTCTCACCATGCAAAGAAGGTGCCCACCCATGGACACATATTAATTTTACCACATGTGTAACTTGTCTTCACACATTGTGAGAGTTCATTAGATGATGTCTATAGATGTTTTGAATTAATTAAAAAAGCTGTTGCTATTTTTTCTTTTCTGATCCCAAAGTTTCTGTCTTAAACTCTTGAGTTTTTTTTTCTTTGTCTCCCCCCCCCCCCCCCCCGCCCCCTGCTGTTTGAACAGTTCCTCTTCTTTAAGGGATAAAGGGGTAAGGCAAAAGGCAGTTTATGTTTACAAAAATACACAAGAATAAACTCTTGTGCTTTGCATACCCACAACTGTAGATCTAATTTGCCCACCTCCGTATGCTTTTCTGATTGAACAGGGAAATGAAAATAAAAAATGAAGCCTTGTAAGTGGAAGGTCTCCGATTGTCACCTCAGCTCTCAAATTAGCTCAGAAGTTGACATTCCACCCTGGGATACGTCAATCCGGCTTTCTGTCATTCATCCTCCTGGCTCTGGGAGGTTGTATCAGTGTTAAGGTTGAATTGGAGGCCATACTGATGGGGACCTCAGAGGGAGCCCTCATGCATTCACACGGTGGATTCAGCACCTCCAATCAGCCCTAGGACCACTTAGTCTGGAGTTTTTCTGCACTGAAGAGGAAGTGGCATCTTTTATAGAAGTTTGCTCCAGATTAAGTCAGCCTAATATATTAATTTTAGGGCCAGAAAGCACTCGCAATGACTGCCAGGGTCCACTCTGAACCTTTTCCTTTTTAGAGGAGCCAGAAGATCAACCTAAATGGGGTCTAACTGACTTGGAGGTTTAGAATGAACTGGCATTGAAAATCGGCAGTAACTTGTAATATAGTCATGATGTTTCCCAAATGAACCTGGAATGCATGGGCTGAAAAGCAAAAAGATTTTTATGGGCGCTAAATGCAAATGGTGTGAGAGCAAACTCACTCTGTAGAACCCGGATGAGTGGTCACTGGGCCAATACTGAACTGAGTGCTCAGGACAGATGTTTTGTTTAGTTTTTAAAATCTAACTGTTAGCCTGGGCTTCTGTGTAAGGGGTTATCAAATGGGTTGTTGAATAATCACCATCTCTCAATATCACCCTTCTATAACCTGCTTGTGGGATTGTTATAGGAGAAATATGCATCTTTTAAAAAGATGCCACACATGAATTAACTGCCTTACATAAACATCCATCTGCTTTTTAGTGCTATTCTCACAGCAAATAATGGGCATATTTACCAAGTATTTCTGAGAAACAGGAAACCATTTGGGAACTTACAATGCAATTTGGGAGAACAGCTTACTTGCAATATGGTGACTTCATTGGGTTGTGGAAAACTATGTGAATTATGATTATGTGAACCAGGGGCTCCTCTGTGCCACAAGCTGTCGCCATGCATCTTTAGGTTCACTTTATAGTTTTGGTTTTTCTGGTATTGACTATCATCCCTTTGTTGTCTAAGAATCAAGTTTACAGATCAGGGATTCAAGACAAGTGTACTGAAAAATCAAACCCAGCAAAGAATAAAAAAATCCAAAATCTACCTATATTTAAACAGTACTGTGTAAATCAATGCAATTTGGGACATTTTTCAAGTCCATTGTTTGAGTCTTCTAGACTTTCCAAAAGCCCTGATTATAGAAAGTATATTCACCTCTGATGACTATAGAGACTGATGAAAGTTTAACATAGGGCAAGCTGTGTAGGTGCTGTGAACAGGTATTGTGCAGATGTCTTAATGAAGGTGCATTTCTGGTAATTGTGAGCCCAGATGTGGTGTTCTTTGCACAGGAAAATCCTGTTATCATCGCTAGCACATTAATTCTCCATTGTTTTTGCCTGGAGTGGGGAAGATTTGTGTATGATTTATTTGCCCACTACAGTTCATCTGGAACAGTGAGAGGTTGTTCAATCCTTTGACTAGGATATGGGGATGTTCATTAACCAAGGTTTCGACCATAGGTCCAGCTATGACCTTGCTTTTTGGAGGGATTTGTTGCTCCATTTACCATCTGAACTCAATTTAAGGATTAACTGCTATAGCAAGTCCTTCCATTCTATCTCAGCTTCTAAAATTGAGATATCCATCTACTATATCTTCACTGCCCCTTTACATATGTTGATCATAGCATTCATTTTGCTTTTTTCTCTGTATTTCTTTGTAATCAGTTCCCCAGTGTACACATAGTGCTCAATAAATGTGTGTGTGTGTGTGTGTGTGTGTGTGTGTGTGTGTGTGTGTGTTTTCCTGTTTAGGTCGACTGACCCTTTGTTTTCCCTGTAATTTAACCTACATAACAACTACATCTGAAGCCTATGTGCAAATTAGGTGCATTTAACCTTGGACAAAAGAATTTTAATTGCATATTTCATGCTTGATTATATATTTCATAATATGCAAAATTCCTAGTTTTCCTCTTCCAGTTGGCTCAGAGAAAAGCTTTTATGTTTTAATTATAAGGCATGGGCCCAGGCTTTTAAAAATATTCAAAGATATTCAGGTGATTTGATATATTTTACCATTCAAATGTCACTGGATAGAACTCATGTGTAAGCATTCTATCATTTATAGCAGCTCTGGTGTATAGAATTTATACAATCCATTGGCTCAGATGTCTTGGGTTATCATCCTGGCTTTGTCACCCATTATATTGGTCATACTGGGTGTCAGGGTCTCTCAACTAAGACTGAATCTGGTTCCTCTGACATAAGATGGTCAACATGGGTTGCAGTTTCCAAGTTCTACTTGATGCTAGGTTCAATGTCTAAAAAGGAGGATTTTACAATACCTTGTGAATATTAAAATGAGTAAAACATTGAAAGGGCCTTGGAAATTCTACAAGTGAAGGCTCAAACAGTAGTTTGAGAAATTACTCTATGTACTACAATATTATTCATCAGACAGAATATACTGCACGTGCTATTCATTCTGTAGTCAGGTTTTGAGACGTTAAGGGAATTAACTAAGTAACATGCTCAAAATGTGTAACACCTGTAAGTCCAGCGATGGATCTAGCCCACATGCCACTGGAGGCAGCTCATTGTGCACACACAGCTACCCACCCACAGGCGCGCTCTCTTTTATTTTCTCCGACACCTACAAATAGAATGGCAGGAGACTTCAAACACTCCGAAAAGCATTTTGACCTGTGGGCTGAGTGCCTGCTGTTGGTTATTTCAGTTCTGAGCTATTTGGCTCATGCCCTGCAAGCTGATCAGTTTCTCCCTTCTGAAGTGGCAGGACTGACTCAGCACAGCAGAAAGCACTTGAAATGGAAACCAGTCCCTACAGGTACTTGTGGAAGGGCTGTGCTTTGGGGGGCCTGCATCCCAAAGGAACCATCTGGCCCATGGCATGGACTTTGTAGAAATATTGGCTTAGCAGGGCCAGAAAATTCCTCTTCGAGGTGGAGATAATAAAAAGGAGAGAAGAAGGTAGAGCATGGAAAAGAGAAAGAGAGGAGAGTGGAGAGGAGAGGAAAGGAGAAGAGAGATGAAAAGAAGAGAGGAGAGGAGAGGAGAGGAGAGAGGAAAGCATTGCAAACAGGCAACAAGAAGGCCATTACGACTTAACTGAGCCAGAAAGGATACTTACTGCTGACTAACTGGCCCACACTCAAAGCTGAAGAAGAGGAGGACGAGGAGGAGGAGGAAGAAGCCTGCCGGACAGGGCTTTGAGACATGGATGCTTGGCTGTGAGCCAGGTGCAGAAGATTGCCTTGGGAGGCTGCTTGACCCACTGACGTCTGGGAGGATTGGTGGAGCTACACGGGAGGATGTAAAAAACACACAAATGAATGAAAAAATTAGGAGAAAAATGCTAGGGACCAGAAGTTTCATCTGAGATTGAATCATTTTATTTCCAAGAATATGTACTTCTTAGGAAGGCTGAACATCCTCCTACACAGCAGGCAGGATTTTTTTTTTTTTTTTGTATGTAATGCGTTGCTGCTTGCTTGACAGGCATTTTATTAGTAATTTTAAATATATTATTAATCCCCTACTTGGCTCACTGAAGCACCCAATTTTCTACATTTCTTCAACACCGGGTATAGCAGAAGCCTTTCTACCTATTCAAACAATAATACCACATTTGACCAGCTTTGCAAGTACATGTAGATGAACTATAATGTTTACAATAAACTTGGAATGCAAAACTCAATTATAAAGGTCTGGCTGTGTCCAGCCATTTGTCTTAAGTAACTGGTACTTTTAGGCAATTCCTAATTTAATATGGCTGAGTGAATGTGAGAACTTTCTGCTCTCCCAGACCAAAGAGTCTGGGTGTATTACTGTGGAGCTAGGAAAAAGGCTAATATCTTATGGAAAATTAAGAGAGAAATTAGAACAGTCAGACAAAAATATCTATTAACATTTGTAGATCTCATTGGTCACTTTTCTACTCTCGGCCAGCAATCCACTTAGGACTTTCATGCACTCTCTCATTTAATTCTCATATCAGCCTGAAAATTTTTTTAATCCTCACTTGAGGATATTTTTCCCCCCATTGATTTTTAAGAGAGAGTGGAAGGGAGAGAGGAAGGGGGGGAGAGAGAGAGAGAGAGGGTGAGAGGGAGGAAAGGGGAGAGAGAGAGAGGGAGAGGGGGGGGAGGGAGGAAGGGGGGGAGGGAGAGAGGGGGGGAGGGAGAGAGGGAGAGAGGTCAGTTGCCTCCCATACTGGTCCTGACCAGGACCAGGGATTGAACCTGCTGCCCTTCAGTGTGCAGGCGGACACTCTAACCACTGAGAACATCGGCCAGGGTGTGGGTTAATATTTTGATGGCCTTTTTTTTTATAAACAAGAAAGCTGAGACACTGAGCAGTTAGAAGTGTCGTAGGTACATCTGGTAGGTGTGAAGGAGCTGGTCCCTGGACATATGACCTCTGACCCTGGGCTCAAGCTTTTAGTCACAATGCCACAAGCAAGAATTTACTTAATTTAAAAATTTTTGTGTGACTTAAGGAACTCTGTTTTTATGTCCATGTATTCATGACTCCTTCACAGGTTATCAAAGGGCTGCTGTTCTGAGAGGTGAGGAGTGCTGCGCTGAAGAGAGGAAGGAGAGAGGAAAGGAAATGAGTGCGGGTGCCAGGAACACGAAAGACCTGGGAGGCATCTCTTTTGATCCATGCCTTGCCCTCCTAGAAAGCTAACACAAAGGGCAGCCCGGGACCCTGAGCAGGTGCAGGAGAGGCCTCAGCAGTGGCCACCTGCCACCTTTGTTAGCTGGACACAGCGCTTTGTGGCTTGCAAAGTGCTTTCATGGCCATCATCACACTCATGATGCGATAGAAAGGAAGATTTTTAAGAAAGGAAGTCAGCCTGGGAGTAGAATCAGATCAGGCTTTGAACTTTGAGGTGATAGCCAACTACAAAACAGTTGCCAATCTTTGACACCATCTCAGGATGTGAGAGCCTTAAATGTTACAATGTCACGTTTGCCTTTGCTTTCCCAATGTGTGTGTGTGTATGTGTGAATTTCTTTCACTGAACTTTACTGAGATATAATTTACACATAATAGAATACAATCCATTTCAAGCATACAGTTTGATGAATTTGTCAAAGACATACACCCATGGAACCACCATCATAAGCAAGATATAGAACCTCTGGATTATTCCACAGAATTCCCTAATTCCCTTTGCAACCAGTTTTCCCTGAACTCCCAGCCCGAGACAACCATTGCTCTGCTTTTTGCCAATGGACTTGTTTGACGTGAATCTAGAAATGGAGTAATTGAGGGTGTGCTTTTTTTTTTGTACCTGGCTTCTTTTGCCTGGATACTATTTTTGAGATCCATCCATTTTGTAGCTCATTCCCTTTCTATTGCTGAATGGTATATATAGCATATATCTATATCTAAGTCTATGATATAATTTGTTTATCCCATTCATCAGTTGAGGTACATTTGGGTTATTTCTAGTTTGGAGCTTTTATGAATGAAGTTGTTATAAACAAGCCTTTGTGTGTCCTGTGTTTTCATTTCTCTTATGTAAGCACCTAGGACTGGAATTGTGGTGATCGCTGGATCATACTATAAATGCATATTTAATTTTTAAAAAGCTACCAAGCCAATATCCAAAGTGATTGTGGCATTTTATATTCTCACCAGCAATGTATGAAAATTCTAGTTGCTCCACATCATTGCCAACACTTGGAAATATCAGTGTTTTTTTTTTTTTTTTTTTTTTTTTTTTAATTCCCTAAAGTGTTTTGAACCACCAATTAACGTTTGTTTTCAAACAATTGTTAGTAAGGTGCTACTTTGGAAATGTGTTTAAGAAGCTATTCCCTTTGCCGAAACTGGTTTGGCTCAGTGGATAGAGTGTTGGCCTGCAGAGTGGAAAGTCCCAGGTTTGATTCTGGTCAATGGCATGTACTTTAGTTGCGGGCACATCCCCAGTAGGGGGTGTGCAGGAGGCAGCTGATCGATAATCCTCTCTCATCGATGTTTCTAACTCTCTATCCCTCTCTCTTTCTCTCTGTAAAAAATCAATAAAATATATATATTTTTTAAAAAGAAGCTATCCCCTTTGTGGTTCCCACGATAATGCTTTTGCTCCCTGGATTCACACCATAGTCCTATGCGGCAGGTGTGCCTCACATGATTATGAGACTTAAACGACTGGTTCAAGGCCATGTGGTCTGATAAATGTTAGAATCCAGATTCCTACTGTATTCAGGGCTCCACAATGCCATCCTGTCCTCTACAGAATTGCCGGCAGTTACATTTCAAGTGAATATCCTTATCATTATAAGACTGTGCTATGTGGAGGCTACTCAGTAAACTAAAGATAGTTATAATCAACATGGAATCCAAATTAATATGCATCAAGCATCTGCCTAAAGTAACTAGCCAATCTGCTGAGCATATAATCAACAATTATATCCAGTAAATTTCGTTCTAGGGACACACATTAAAGATTAAATCTATTTTAATTTGCACAATAAAATGTGATGGATACTTGCATGTCAATCTTTTCCCCCTAACCTATTGAGTTGTCCTTCTAAATATTGTTATGAGACAAAAGCTTTTTACAGTTTTGAGTTTCTGAGTCATGAGATAGTCTTTAGTGTTACCACTTCATCAATATTTTATTGGACCTGGGTATGGTAAAGTACCATCAAGGAACTGGATAAGGCAATAATCAATTTAAATTTTCTTCCTCAGAACAACTCAGTAAAGAAAAAATGACAAGGCTGCAGCCTCACTTAGAAGTCACTAAAGCAAGCTAAGTTTTATGCATTTAGCTATGCAGCAGGAGGAATTTGAAAGGAAAATAAAATAGTTCTTTTAAAAGCTTATTCTATGTCTACACAGTCAAAGAGAAAGATGAATCTAAGATATCCAAAAATATAAGGAAGATATATTTCTTCCAAAGGAAATAAATCTATTTTTAAGGACTCTGGGGGTCCTGCTTACTTTCTAGAGTTCAATAAGACAGTTCAGAAAAATCAATAAAAATTAGAAATGTTTCTTACTTGTCAAGAATCAAGATTATATAAGCAGTATCATCCTAATGGAGCCCATCTATCTTCTTACAACCGCCAATATAGACACATATTTGTTAATTCCAAAATCACTTGTGAGCCCAGATAGACTAGCTTATTAGGCATATCAAAGTCATCCCAGAGATTGACTTCTCTTTCATAACCTTTTCCCTCAATAAAAGAGGATATTAGAGGTAACATTTCTGTTACCTCCCATTCCTAAAACTGCAATTCTTTTAGGTAAACTCTACAAATAGTCCTAACTTTAATATGTTTGGTTTAAATATTTTAGTGCATTAATCTTTAGAAAGAAATATTTATATTAAATCACCAAGTTTTTTCTTTCTTTCATGAAGTAGTACAAAACTGAGATTAAGCTACTACATGAAATATCAACATTAGGATTTACTATAAGTATTTAATAAAATTTAAATAAGTAGCTTTAGAAAATGTTATTTATTTAAAAAATATATTTTATTGACTTTTTACAGCTAGGAAGGGAGAGGGATAGAGAGTTAGAAACATCGATCAGCTGCCTCCTGCACACCTTCTACTGGGGATATGCCTGCAACCAAGGTACATGTCCTCGACTAGAATTGAACCTGAGACCCTTTAGTCTGCAGGCTGACGCTCTATCCACTGAGCCAAACCAGTCAGGGCTCAAAAAATGTTATTTTATTGGATTTAATTATGTTGTTTTTGCGTACACTGACAACTGTAAAAATCATATGTACTTGAATAGATAATTATTGGCAAAACAAATAGGTGTATAAATACCTAAAACATAACTGGCCACAAAAATTGAAATAGATTAGCAAAAGAAAATGCAGGAGTTAGGGAATAACTGGAAGCACAAAAGCTCCTTTTTTTCTTGGAGAGAAAGGGCAACTTAGGAGTTTCTCTAAAGGCAGATGTTTCATTGTATTGCCTTAATCTTAAGAGGTCACCTTTATGGACACCATTTATAAGATGCTTCCTACCTGTGTTTATATACATTATTTTAAAATCTGGAGCTAGTGTTCTTTTATAGGTTCTGATAACCATCACAGAAGAGGAAACTGACTTCAAAAGGCTACATGGCTTATCTGGTGTAAGTACTACACAGCTGGTATAAGTGAGATTTGAATCCAGGTAAGTCTGATTCAAGAGTCTGATTTATATCATTGTTGATTATATGCTCAGCACTCCTTCCACCAGGAGACTCTTAACTCCTGGCGACCACTGAAGATGAGTGGTTATGGGTCCGAGAAACAGCAGGAAGCCTTAGCTGA